AAGATAAAATGCACTGGTAACTTGGGAGTACTTACTATTTCAAGGCATTTTATTTTTAAAGCAAAAATTACCTAAGACATTGGTTCCCTCTTACACTCCTTGATGCCAGGTCCCTTAGAATAGTTTAACTGTATGCCAGTCTTCCAAAATACCCCAAAGGAGAACTGAAGACATGGCTCAAGTGGTAGAATGTTTGTCTAGCAAGCACAAGGCCCTGAGTTCAAACCTCAGTACTGAAAAAGAATAATGCTAATAGCAGTAACAGTAAGAAGCTGGTGGCTCAAGCTTATAATCCTAACTGCTTGGGAGGCTAAAATCAAGAGAGTAACAGTTTGAGGCTGGGATGGGGGTGGGGATAAAAAGCTGGCAAGACCCCATCTCAACCAATAGCTGGAAGCATTGATGTGCACCTGTTATCCCAGCTATGCAGAAGGCTGAGACTGGGAGTACTGTGGTTCCAGGCCAGCCCAGACAAAAGTTTCAAGACCCCCATCTCCATGGAAAAAGCTGGGTGTGGTGGTACACATGTATAATCCGAGCTATGTGGAAGGGTACAGATAGGAGGATCACAGTCTGAGACCATCCTTAGGCAAAAATGCACGACTCTATCTAAAAAATAACTAAAGCAAAAAAGGACTGGGCCATAGCTCCAGTGGTAGAGTGTTTGCCTACTACCTAGCAGGTTTTCTGCTCAAATCTTAATCTTTCTACCTAAATCTTACTTCTATTCCATACCCTAAATATCCACAACCTAATTTTTCATTATAGTTAAAAGGATCCTCAATTATGTCCATCTGTACTTCTTGCTTGTAAGTCAACTGTGCCTGCTATTTTCTCTGAGTAGACCATTATTACTTTCAATGAAAAAAACAGTTATACTTCAACATTCTAATTAGAAGTCTCACCTCTCTTCCTAGAGGCCATACCGGGCAGGATTATCTATTTTTCAATTGCTGTAGTTATCACTGCTTGGTCTAATGAATTTATTACTTAGTACTTGCTCTATCATTTATAATCACATTTATGTTACATGACTATATGTTTATATTAAATATGGGAAATCCTCTTCTATACAGGATATTCATATATATACAAAGAAATTTGATTCGGTATTGTAGCTTTCAGCATGGCAAATACAAGCAGCAGAATAATACAGTTATAACCAGCAGAGACTCTAAAGTCAAATTCCAGTTTTGCTACTTATATCGTACTCTAGGACAACTTACTTAACATTCATGTCATCAGTTTCATAACTTGAGTTGTTAAGAAAACATTAATTAATACACATAAGATCCTTTAAAAACCATCTGACACTTAAACTCAAAATATAACTATCTTATTATGTCATCATTAATTCTATTCCTTACTTCACATGAGGATGCTGAAGCTTGCCCTGAGTCACTAAGAGCTGGTAAGCTGTAAAGAAGGAAGGGAAACAAAGGACAACTTCTAGTAGAAGAGCCCATCATTTCACCACTCTATTCATTTTTCGGTATTTTGATAATAATAATGAAACTTTATTCACTAATTTTTAAGTTCTTCAGAACAATATTAGGATATTCTGTAAAGTGGGAAGAAGATGAAAGAAATTAGAAAAAGGAAATGAGACATTTGTATACTCAAAAATTAAGAAGGAAGGAACACCTCAATAGAAAAGAGTGCACTGGCTTATTATGATTGTATAAATGGAGGAGTCTGGAAAGTAGTACAGAAAATGATGTTAAGAGTATCAAAATGAGGACTAGAGGTATGATTCAAGCAGTATAACATTGGCTTTGCAAGCAGGAAGCCCTAAGTTCAAACCTTAGTCCCACCCAAAAGAAAAAAAAAAGCAAGAATATCAGACTGGAGACATTTTTCCATGTAGGACATCAAGATGTTGCTGCTTACATTAGCAGTTTAAAAAGCCCATCTTTCTTCAAAATAAAAAAGTGTGAAATACTTTGACTTTTTACATACAATTCTGATTTTACAGATGGGCAAAGGAATCATAACTTTTAGAAATCAATAAAGAACATGAAGGAGTATTAATGTATTTACCAACCTACATTTAAAAGTCCTTTACTCCTTTACAAGTTTTCAACTATGGATATTTAGTTTCTGAGAAAACTTTAAATGTATAAAGATCATGTCCAAAACCATCACTATTTGACTATCCTAGGCATTTCCTTAAATAAAACCCAATGGTTACTTAAAATACAAACTGTTCTTAAAATACAGACACAGTAGTTTATGAATGCAGGAAATTATTTTTTAACAAACACTGGCATTCAGAATATTTGTTAAACAATACCTGTCCTCTAATTAAATGTACTTTGCTCACAGCTTATCTCTTTCTATACATTACTCTCCCAAAGTGGCAACCAACAGACAGTTCAGGCCAAAATAAATATTCGGTATTACTATAGTAATATTAGTAGACATGGGTCACACACCAAGGGGAGGACACATACAGGAGGAATAGGAAAAGAGAGGAAACCCAAAACTTGAAAGTGTTTGATGTGTCCACTATAGAGGAGTTAACATAGTAACTGTAAAACACCAGAGGTCAATATGGGAAGGTGACCAGGAAGTAGTGAAGTGTACAGATCAATCAATTTGGATTGTAATACATATGTGCGTGGAAACAATGCTAGGAATCTCTCTGTATAGCTATCCTTATCTCAAACCAGTATAAACGCTATGTCTTTCTTATTATTGCTTATGTCTTCTCTTCAACAAAATTGGAGAAGAGGGCAGAACAGGTTCTGCCTGAAAGCAAGGGGGGTGGGGGGAGAGAGCGGGAGTAGGGGGGCCAGGGGGGAGAAATGGCCCAAACAATGTATGCTCATATGAATAAATGAATAAAAATTAAATAAATATTCGGTATTAGTAGCCGAAAAGCTCTGGCCTTATATGACTATTTTGTGAAAATATACCACAAAGGGCATTTTTACATATCAAACTTAAAATGAAGACAAAAGGAAAAGCACTAGAAAATAAATATAGCAAGTAAAGTCCAAATACATGCTTTTGTAACCTGAATCCTATATTTTAGACTTCCATTATAAAACTGACAATAGTTTCAGAAAAAAAGGGGAACTCTCAGAAATAAACAAGGATTATTCTAACTATAAAGCACATGTAATAGAATAAAAGGCAGGCTTAATGTCCAAAAGGAATGCTCAGTTGTCAACCTAACTATCAATTCCAATCGCCAAAAATAATTCAAGTTCCAGGAACGTAAGAAGAGATAAATAATAGAGAATACCGTATTTCCTTGGCATTTTAACATACACATCTAAATAGCTTGATAATGCTATTGGTTAGACAATGTGGATTTTTCTTCCCTTTCTTCAAATCCTAGCTACGATGTGAAATGCTTTGTACTCCACATATCCACACAAAGTCCAGGTGTTAAGTCTATTTTAAAAGCCATGATCAGCAGGGCAGGAACTGAGATGTGTTCCCTCTCAAACCATCATATAATGGTGTGTCAACATCTCAGTCTTAAAATTGTCTTAATCTATTACCAGAAGACTATGCTATGAATACTAAATTTTAACCTCTTAAACTTTGGTTTGGTTAAAACCAAAAAATCTTCTGGCCTAAGAGCTCACCTTTAATTCTATATAGCTTGACAACTACCTTGCTTATTAATTTCCCTCTGCTGGCTCCAATAAAGCTGCCTAAGTCCCACAGTTACTATACCTCATGGGTTCATGTAATCCCAACTTAAACCCAGTCTTGAGGCTTAGAAATTTTATTCCTTTTCCAGTAACAAGCATAGATCAAATTTATTTGACCAAACATTTACTCAGTTTCCTTCATCTTACTCTTTGCCCTGATTTATTCTGCAAACATTTTTCTGAAATGAATTATAAGCTGTGAAAAACACTAATGCAGGAAATACAAATATTTTTTCTATATCATTAAGGCAAGATTGGTCCAGTGAAGGAGACAAATATAGAATCAAAAAACTTCAATGATGTATGAGAAACTTTAGAAAAGAACTTTACAAAAATTCTACAGAACACAATGAGAGAAGGTTTACCAAGTGGTAGGTAGGATGGGTGTATGCTTCAGTTGAGATGTTAGAATTGTTGAAAGGGTGGGGAAAGCTTAAGGGTTAATGTTTGAATGCAACCCAAGTGTTGACTAAAAATATGTTACAATACATAACTGGTTGTCAACTACAGCTCTATTTTTACTGTTTTTTTCTTTTTTAGATGGGACAAGGGTTTGAACTCAGGGCTTCACAATTGCAAAGCAGGAGCTCTACCACTTAAGTCACAACTCCAGTCCATTTTGCTCTGGTTATTTTAGAGACAGGGGTCTCATGAACTATATTTGCCCACACTAGCCTGGAACCATGATCTTCCCGATCTCAACCTCCCAAGTAGCTAGGATTACAGGGGAGAGCCAGCTCTCTTTCTTTTTTTTTTTATTTTTTTATTCATATGTGCATACAATGTTTGGGACATTTCTTCCCCCCACTCCCCCCTCTCTTTCATTTTTATAAGTTACTTGTAACCTTAGATTCACAAGTAAGACTCATCATTACAAACAACAAACACACTTAAGTGATTTTGTGTACAAAGTGATTATTACATGGATGAAAATAGGAAAAAACATTTTGAGAACAATGAATAAAATTCAATGTAACCAGAAAGATCATCTGCAATGGAAGAAAACAGTGTTATACAAAACCAGTCGTCAATGTTGTAGATATAGAGGAAAGAGTAGCAAATTAAAACTAAAAGAGAACTGGATGCAAAACTCAGACAACAGCTGTGCCCTAATTATGACAAAATTCAGGAATTACTCAACTGCCCACCTTACTCAAAGAGTTAAGATCAAATTAAATAATGGATCTGAAATGTGCTTTGAAAAATATAAAATGCTACATAAAAAGCTTACCTGTGTTATGTTACATCTGCTGTATTAGAAATTAACTTTAAAAATCTACATTTCTGACATATTCAACCTCTCATACTGAATTTATGATAAAGAGCTTTTACCCGTTCTACAGATCGTGCTCTCTTCTTTGGCCGAGTAGGCAGCGCATCTTCTTTCGGATTGTTGTCTATTGCCCAATAGGAACCCTAAAGGTGAAAAAAAATATACATTACATTAACAGTGTATTATAGTCACCCTGTGACATTAAAGGAGATTTTTATAATCCTATGCTCCAAAGGCAAACATTGTGCAACTACAATAGGAAATTGGCACAAGAAGAAACACTAGTTTGTTCACTTGTTTGTTTTCATGGGGCTGGGGGTGTTGCACTCAGGGCCTCACACATGTGAGGCAAGTGCTCCATCAATGAGCTACACCTCTTCCCCTTTTAAAAGGTAAAAACATTGCTCAGCGAACTGTGCCAAGAATGTCAGCATATAGGGTATTGATGTAAGGCCTTGGCAGATGCTAATCTATGCAGGTACTGATTTCATTTCCCACCCACTGCTGGCATAGTCTACTATGCTACTGACTGCATTTCAGTTTATGAGTTTAAAAGATCTGATATAAACTTGCCAAGAACCATGTAAAACATAGATGCTACATCAAGTATGCACTAAAAATGAAAACCAAATGCATTTTAATGTATACTACTTAACTGAACATATATGATAATTACATTCAAGTCTAAAACAATTTTATGTGTTACAATACTATAGTTTCTGTACTCTGGGACCTCACAAATCTAAATGGTAAGTGAAACAATTGAAGGATTTCATGAGTGGATTCAGCTAACAAGTTTCAAAATAAAGTAAGAAAAATTTTAGACCTGGTTGTCATAAAAATTGAAAATAAAAGAGGGAAAACACCAAAAAGTCACTGACAATAAATTTAATGCCTCATTATAAGCATGGTTTGAGCTGTACATTTTTCATGGATGCCTTTAATAAAGGAAATTCCTTCTTATTCCCAGTTTGCTGAGTTAAATTTTGTCAGATGTTAAATTTTTCCAGGTGAGATGGTACGACAACTTTTCAGACTTCTTTTACTCACATGATGAGTTACATCAACTGTTTTTCTAATTTTGCTCTGGGACAAATCCTACTCAGTCAGTCATGATTTTCTCCTTTATTTATCAAAGAATTCATTTAAGCTAATTTTTTGTTAAGGATTTGAGAATTAATGTTCAGGATGAATTACTGACCTCCAGTTTTCTTTTCTCATCATTTCACTGCATGACTTTCTCCACAATGTTTTGTAAAAGTTTGTGTAGGACTGGTGCTTTTCTGTATTTTCTATCTCACTGATTAGCACTCTTACCTTTATTATTTTCCTTTCTTCGACTTACTACGGACTCAATTCACTCTTACTTTCCTCCCTTCTTATGGGACATGAATAGGTAACTAACTTCAAGCCCTTCTTATCTTTCTCATAAAAGTACTCAAAGGGGTTGGGCATGGTGACTCATGCCTATAATCCTAGCTACTTGGGAGGCAGAGATGGGGAAGATAACAGTTCGAGGCCACCCCTAGCAAAAAGTTAGTGAGAGACCCACCCCCCTCCATCTCAAACAGTAAGCTGGGCATGGTGGCTCATACCTGTCATCCCAGCTACACAGGAAGCACAAGTAGGAGGACTGCAATTTGAGGCCTAGGGGGGTGGAAAGAACCAAGACCTTACCTGAAAAATCACCTAAAAATGCAAAAAGGGCTGGAAGCATCGCTCAAGTGGTAGAGTGCTTACCTAGCAAGTGCAAGACCCTCAGTACAAGACCCCGATACTGTCCCCTCAAAAAAGTATTTGAAGCTATAAGCTTCTTTCTAAAATACTGTTTTAGCTGTATCACAATGGTCTGTTCTCAGTCTAAAATATTTTCCAATAGTTTGTGATTCTGTTTTGATCCAGAGGTATCTTAGAAATATATTATTTAATTTATAAATGTTTGTGGAGATTTCAAACTTCTTGATAATGGTTTCTCACTTAATTCTAGCAAAGAACTTACTGTGTAAGATTTTATCCTTTAGAAATCTACCAAAATTTTATTTGATATTTGGTCTATCTTTGTCAACATTACTTTTGCATCTGAAAAGCATATATCCTGCAGTTGACAGATATAATATTCTGATCCTTAGTTGCTTTTTTGTCTAGCTGTTTAATTATTTCCTGGGAGGTGCATTAAAATCTCTATTCCTCTTTCTAGCTGTGAGAGTTCTTGTTTGTTTTGTTTTTTGAGACTGGGTCTTACTATGTAGCCATGGCTGGCCGTAAACACTTGCTCCCCCTGCTTCAGCCTCCCAAGTGCTGGAATTATAGATGTAAACCACCATGCCAGGCCTCTGGTTCTTTATTATCAAAAGGCAATTCTTGAGAGATGTGCTGGCATACATCTATAATTTCAGCACTCAGGAAGCTAAGGTAGGAGGACTGAGGTTCAAAACCAGACTAGGCTACACAGTGAGACTCTATCCAAAGGGGAAGAAAAAAAAGAAAAAAAAAAAAAAAAAAAACACTTGAATCCAGATTTCAAATACATTTCTAACTTTTGGTTCTTCTTACATTTTCAAAATGCAATATTTAAGTAAATCTTTGATGGCTCATTTTGTTGAGAGATAGCTATCTCTATCCCATAACTGCAAAAAAGTTTTCATATTTATATTTACAAATATCAAATAGAATAATGAATCCAACTTTTTCATTTCTATGTAATCTATTTCCTTGTAAGCATTTTTGTGGACATACCAGATTATAGGTTTATACACTTATGAACCACATTAAGTATATTTTGGTGCAGAAACATCATTAAAGATGGAAACATAATGTACCATGTCCTTGTAATAAGACAGGATAATTCAGATTCTAGCCTATCACAAAGTACTGCATTGTGAAGATCTTCCTGCTGAATGACTACACAGATAAAGAGTTATTGTTCTCAGAAATATCATTAACTCAGTATTTCGTGACTTTGAACAAATTAATCCAGGATAAGGTCAAACCAATTTCACCATCACAATTAGAGTGTTGCTGTCTATTTCTTTGTATTAATCTCGTAATTTAACTGAAAGTGGCAGACCACCTTTTCTCTGTCAATGCCCTTTGGCATTATGGGGAAAAAAATTACACTCTCAACTGTGTTCAATAACCTGCACTCACCTGCAATCCCAGCTATGCAAGAGGCATAGGTACAAGGATTGCAGTCCAAGCCTAGCCCCCAGCAAAAATAAATAAATATGATACCCTATCTGAAGAATAACTAAACCAAAAACAGGTTATGTCTCAAATGGCAGAGCACTCGCTTAGGAAGCAAGAGCCCTGAGTTCAAACCCCAGTGCCAAATGGAAAGATACTAGAGATGCTTTCACTACTGAACCACCCTTCTAATCATATTTCTGTATTCTTATTATTTTAGTGTTTGGGCTTGGTGGAAAAAACTGATGAGCAAAAATGAGCTAATTCTTAGGATGATAAAATCATGTCAACATATAGGAAAAATAAAATCACTAAGATCCTACAGTGAACCTTACATTTAATAAATGAATCCCAAATAGTAAGTTTTACTCTGTATTTTAATATGTAAAATTTTTATCTGTTCCCTGGAAGACTTCTTATGAGAAGATAAAAAGTCATAGAATATTAGTCTTCACAAGTAGTAAAAACTACTCAAAATAGCTATTTAAAAATTAAATTGGGCCAGGCCATGATGGCTCACACCTACAATTCCAGCTACTCAGGAGGTAAAGATTGGGAAGATCTTTGCCAGCCTGGACAAAAAGTTAGCAAGACCCCCATCTCAGTCAGTAAGTCAAATGATTATGGTGCAAGGCCCACTCTGAGCAAAAACAGGAGGTCCTATCTGAAAAATAACCTGCAGCAAAAGGGCTGGGATGTCGCTTAAGAGGTAGAACACTTGCCTAGCAGAAGACCTGAGTTCAAAACTCCATAACACCACCACTAATAATAATATAACAACAACAGTAATAATTTTTAAAAACCTAAATTGGGTCCAATGGACCCTGATGGTATGTTGAGGATTAGAGAGAGAGAGAGAGAGAGAGAGAGAGAGAGAGAGAGAGAGAGTCCCTTCTCAAGTGTTTGACTTCATATTGTTTTGTATTAATCTTCAAAAATATTATCTCCTTCAATTTCTACCAATGAGCAAATATACAAATATCTGGCAAATTCTAAGTTTTAAGAGCTAAAAGGGATCTTTAAAATCATCTACTACAATTTTTATGTAATTATAAGAAATAAACAGAAAAAGTCAGTAATTTGACTAATTGAAAAAATTCATCCTTTCATTTAGCATCTAAGCACTCCTGCTTTACACAGGGCAAATAAAAGACAAATAACAAAAGTCAAAATATTTTAGTGAAGTTTATTATCAAAAGAAAATAAGCCAGGCAAAACAGTATGTAGCTGACTAAGGCAGGAGGATCCCTCGAGGTCAAAAGGCTAGCCTGAGCAACACAGGCGACCTCACTCAAAAGGCAAGGACAAAAAGGTAAATAATCCTTGATATTACCTAACCCAACAACTGGGAAAATAACATGTTAAATAAAACTGATTGAACTTTTCAAACATTGGGCAGATACAGAAAGGTAAAATCCCTCATCTTAATGAGTTCATTAAGGGTTGGTCATGTGCTCGCTTCGGCAGCACATATACTAAAATTGGAACGATACAGAAAAGATTAGCATGGCCCCTGTGCAAGGATGACACGTAAATTAGTGAAGCGTTCCATATTTTTCTAGTCTTATCTCAACTAGCAAAAACCCTTGGTCCTTCCTATTATTGTTTATACTCTCTCTTCAACAAAATTAGAGATAAGGGCAGAATAGTTTCTGCCTGGTAGCGAGGGGGTAAGAGGGGTTAAGGGGGGTTGGGGGATAGGGGAGGAAAGGAGGAGAAATGACCCAAACATTGTATGCACATATGAATAAAAATTTATTGAAAAAAAAAGAATTTTTGTCAAAGGTATATAAAAATATTATAACTCAACAATGAAAAAATGAACAATATATATATAAGGTGACACTTCAAAGGAACTATACAATTCTGAATAAAAATATAAAGAGAAAAAAAAGGGTTAGTCATGTGCTAAACACAAGGATAGTCTTAGTGTAAATTTTAAAAAGTCTCTAAAGGGACA